AGCGACTACGCCACAACGCTAATCCGCGACCCAAGACAGATCTTGACATGATCTTGCTGCTTGATCTCGCTGAATCTAGTATCTCAGTCTACACAGAGATCCGACGCACGGCGCAGACAGCCAACGAATCAGCCGTTAAGTGCGTGCTGGGCGCTAGGCCCCTTGTCATCCCACCTCTACTAGATGCCTTCGTCAAGGCTGTGGCCGAAAGTGACTACCCTCGTATCAAGGGTGCCATGTTTACGCTTCTCTTCGGCAGCCTAGCGAAGACCATCAGCCGCGACTGGCGCTTCACACCCAAGCTCATTAAAGCTTTCATTGAGGTCACCGGTGCCGATAAGCCTTCAGTGCAGAAGCTTGCGACCAACGCCACGTTCCAGATTATGGACATGGGTAAAGCAATGGAGCGCATGGTCATCCTGCCGAAGGAGGTTGTAGAGGCCATCGCATACGCCATCGACTCTAGCGAGGGCGACAGTGTACACACCAAGGTCACCAAGCGTCGGGACTACATCAAGAAGAAGCGTGCTCGCATCGAGGGCAAGAAATCTGAGCTATCCAAGGAGCTTGTACATATCGCCAATACTGAGCACTGGAAGAAGGTCAGTAGGACCGCCGCCATCATTGTCAACTTGGGAATGCGTTACGACAGCATTGCTTCCGACGAGATGATCGACCTCGTCGCGAAGGGATCCATCGATCAACATCCCAGTCTCCGAGGCCTCTACGCTGGTGCGCTTATTGGCTTGTACTCGGTCATTCAGACCCGTGCGATCACGGGACACGACTACGAGAAGTACTTGCTCAGCGAAGAAGAGCTCCCAGATAAGATCTCGGTGCCGACCAGGCCAGAGGATCCAAACTGGACTGAGGAGTACCTTGCATCATTCGCGCAGCCAGAAGCCAAGTACTATGTCGACTTTGATTATCCTGGCTGGCTTGTATGGAATAAGAGTATGACCGCGTTCAAGCCCAACGCACCGCAGCTATCATACGATGAGGTCGAGTCCGGCGTCCGTCAGAAGATCGCGAAGCACCTGACTCGATCTTGGTTCTCCAACTACTTCGCATTCATGAAGCAAGAGCCACGCGATAACAGCGCTGATAGGTTCCGTATGTCAAGCGCGATGGTTTTGACTCACTCTTTTGACCTCGTCTTCTGCGGCCTAACAGAGGCGACGTTCGAAGACATCAAGGACCTTACTCAATCCGTATACGCTGACGGCAGCGACAAGCATCAGCACCGCGCCACCGCTGAGATTATGGCCGCACTACTATCATGCGCACCAGATCTCAAGGCAGATCAGCGTGAAGCGGTGTGGGAGTACGTTTTCCCCATTGTGCGTGGAATCTTCCAGGACGGTCTGACGCCAGAAAACTCTGGGTACTGGACCACGTTCCTTCATGTTGTGTTGCAATCGAAGGATCCACGCCGAGGATGGCCGTTGGTCGACTGGCTAGCGAGCTTCCGCCTCGATATGGAGTCCAACGCCGCCTTCAAAGAGAGCTCCAAGGTACATCTGCTTACGCAATGTATCTGTGACGCGGGTTGGCACTTCCGTCTTGAGAAGCCGATCTTGGAGGATTTCATGAAGCATCTCGACCATCCATACAAGGGTGTGCGAGAGGCCATGGGCCAGACCATCGCGAGCATCTTCAGGACGCGTTACCACGAATCATACAAGGATGTCGACACGCTTATCAAGGCTCAGAAAGACGCTTCTTCGATTGGTGTCCGCCCGTATCAACCTACAGATGAGTTCTCCAAGACCATCACTGAAGTCTTCGATCGCCTCGAGGTTTGGCGCCAGGAGCGTCCTGCAGGCCAGCAGACACCTTCGTCATACACATCAGGCGGTAAGACAGTTCTCCTCTGGCTTGACTCTACGCTGTCATCGTATGAATGTACGTCGCTTGTTAAGTTCTTCCCCGACGTATTCATGGAGCAACTGCTACACATGATGGACATCAAGGAAGACCCCGAACTCCAGTCACTGGCGTATCACGTCTTCCGCCATCTGCCGAATATCCCGCATCGCCAAGGCGAAGATGCAGAATTCATCGCTGCTCTCATTCGCATTGGACGCAATGCAACAAGTTGGCATCAGCGTCTCAGGATCTTGATCAACATTCAGGTCATCTATTTCCGCCGACTCTTCCTCATGAGCGAGGAGCAGCAGCAGAGCATGTTCGACTGCGTCTCTGCCATGCTCTCAGATACTCAGCTCGAGGTACGCATGGGTGCTGCCACCACTCTATCGGGCATGATTCGTTGCTCGCCCATAGCATTCCGCGACCGCCAAGTCTCCACGCTCAAGGAGAAGTTCACTAAGCAACTCAACAAGAATCCATTGCCAAAGAAGCGCAATCCAGGAACGCCAACAACAGAGCAAGGCAAGCTTGTCCTGACGCGCCACGCAGCTGTGCTGGGTCTCGGTGCGCTTATTCAAGCCTTCCCATATCAGAGCCCTCCGCCAGCTTGGTTGCCTGATGTGCTGGCTACCCTGGCTAGGAAGGCTGCAGCCGACCCAGGCATGGTTGGCAAGAGTGTCAAGACTGTTCTCGCAGACTTCAAGAAGACCCGCCAAGATACTTGGCACGTTGATGTCAAGGTAAGTTTTCATCCCCAACCAAAGTACGATCCGTACTAACTGTGACCTCAGGCTTTTGAACAAGAACAACTGGAGGACCTTGAGGGTGTGTTGTGGAAGAGCTACTTTGCATAGATGACGGCTAGGCAAACTGCCATCCAAAAATTGGACGCTATTAACGACGCTCGGTGATACCATAAACAGCATGCATGTATTATAAGATAGATCGGACAGGTTATGACAACGAGCGATATGAAGAGGCTCTGCATCCATGGCGTCTAGCGGAATTAGCATCTTCTAGATAGTCTTGCTTACTCAACGAACTTTGTTTCTTAACGTGCTTACTCAGTCGCGACCCGAACTTCGCCCCTGTTGTTTAAAGCCGCACTGCCCCTCCCCCACTTGGGAAGCTCAAGCGTACATGCGCTGACATCACATCTAGACGACTTCACCAACAACGAATATACTGCTGCACGACACGAATAAATTACACTCTTTTCCCAGCAATCCCTCAACCGCTCTACAATGCCGTTGACCGTGCTTTCTGATTCGGACGTGCGTACCCTTTTACTACAACTCACGAAGCAAGACATTCTCGATCTGCAGCAGAATCTTGCGGATGCGCTGCACCACTACTCTACCAGTACCGAAGAAGACGACAACAATGGGTGTTGTGAAAGTTTCCAGTCTGCAGGGACAAGTCTAAAGAGCAAGGATGGTGGATTAATGACTGTCACGCCGGCAAGCAGGTACGTCGCTTCTGGGAGCTATGAACGCAGAATGATTGTATTGACAGACCCTTGCAGCAACGATGGTCTTGGTGTCAAGATAACAACACGACTAGAGTCGAGTTCTTCAGATACGGCCTCTGTTACTTCGTCGATGGACTCCCTCGCACTCTCCCATTCGTCAACACCAGCAAGCAAGAGTTCGGCAACCACCGCATCGAGATCAACCTCTCTTTCTGCATTCCAGACTTCCCCATCAAATGCCAGCCTAACTCTCTTTGACCGCTCTGGTAACCCGCGGGCTTTGTTGAACTCATCAGAGATGACAGCTTTCCGCACCGCCCTCGCAAGCACAATGCTCTTTAAGAAGCGAGCAAACGTGCATGATGTGGTAGTGTTTGGAGCAGGAAGGCAAGCTTACTGGCACATACGGCTCGCGCTCCTTCTCCGAGGCGACGACATCCACCACCTCAATATCATAAACCGAGACTTCGAGCGCGTGCACCAGCTACTGGAGAGACTATATAACCCACATGAAGCGCCGCCATCGAACTTCAACCCAGATCCATCCTACGTTCCAACATATCGGAAAGCAGCAGGAGAAGGTGCGAAGGAAGGGCAACAAGACCTACATCATTATCTACCTCGCCCCAAGATACAGATACTCACCCCAGGACACGGCGAGTATCCACGTCTCCTCCATGCCACTCTACGCTCCTCAAGCTGCATTTTCCTATGCACACAATCTCCCACACCTTTGTTCCCCGCAGCCATCCTCACAAATCCCGAAGGCAGAAAGAAAGGTCGCTACATAGCAGCCATTGGCTCCCTGTCCCCTCACAGCACAGAACTCCACTCAGATATAATCAAACAAAACGTAGCACCTGAGCACGGCCACCGACATTTCCACAAACACGCGCAACAAGGAGGCGCGATAGTGGTGGACAGCGTGGACAGATGCCTAAAGGAAGCTGGAGAGATTGTGCAAGCAGGTTTGGGTCCGGAACAAGTCGTGGAGATAGGCGAGCTGGTCATGCTGAAGCGGGATGCGGAGAGGAGAAGGAGAGAATGTATAGCTGGCAAGGGTATAGAGGCTGAGGGGCTGGATGTGGGTGGTGTGGAATTGGGTGAATGCGAGATGAACAAAAACGAAAAGAAGAAGGCGAGCAAAGGCGGTAGTAAAGAGAAGGAGAAGCATCGTGAGAGCGAGGAAAAGGCACACAAGAGTCTGATTGAGTGGTTGGTCAAGGGTAATGTGATATACAAGAGCGTTGGACTGGGCCTCACCGATGTTGTAGTGGGTGGAGATCTTGTCCGAATAGCGGATGAGCGCAATATCGGCACGAGGATCGAGAACTTTTAGAAAGGGTCGTCGCATCCATCACTGGAGTTGGAACCAGGCCTCGAATACCTGGACTCATGCGAATGCATCTAGAGGCGGTGCCGAGAGAATCGACCATATTCTACAAAAACGAAAGATGTATCATAAGAATTCGAGCATCACAAGCAAACAAAATATGCGAATGGCGTGCGTTATCGTGATTGATTCCAGTCAATGCAGTCGTTTGCCGACCGCTTTTAACCCTCCTAAACTCCGTTGGTATTGTGAACCGACTATATGCAGAGGTAAGAGACACGCCGTAAAGTCATCATGAAATATTCAAAGCACCTCAGGACCTGCTTAGATCTTGATAGCGCTCTCAACAGCCTTCCTGCGCTTCTCCATGCGGGCGTTGGCCTTGGCACCCATGATACCACCTCCCCAGTGACGGGCAGCGTCCTTGTGGTGTGACTCGAGGTAGCCGTCATTGACAGCGGTGACGAGCTTCTGGAGCTCGTTCTTGTCCTCGGAGCGGACCTCGGTGAGGGCGAGAACAGCGGCGGTCTTCTGGTGGACGACCGTACCGAGACGGGCCTTGCCCTTGACAATGACGTAAGGGACACCTAATGAATGTCAGTTGATGTGTCACATGCAATTTGCGAATTTCTAGCACTCACCCATCTTCCTGCAGAGAGCAGGGAGGTAGACAACAAGCTCGATGGGGTCGACGTCGTTGGCGATCAGGACGAGGGAAGCCTTCTTGTTTTCGATGAGGCCAACAACGTGGTTGAGACCGTACTTGGCGACGTAGGGCTTCTTGCTGACATCCTCCTTCTTCTTGCCCTCAGAGACGGCGGTAGCCTCCTTGGTAAGACGCTCCTTCTTCTCGGCCTTGGTCTCGGGACGGTACTTGTTGAGGATCTTGAAAGCCTGGGTGGCGAGGTTACGGTCGGCAACGTGCTGGAACTGGGCAATCGCCGGGGGGACCTTCAAGCGCATGTTGAGGATCTTCTTCTGGCGCTGAAGGCGGACGTAAGCGCTACGCGTTGTCAGTATCTGCAGAGCACGGTTGGGTTGGGGATTGCTTACGGCCATCGGACCATGCGGCCAACGTTGCGCTGGGGCTGGATGTCCTGACCGATGCCATAGTTGCGAGGACGCTTCTCGATGAGAGGGTTCTGCTGCTTGTTAGCGCTTGCGTGCAAAATCTTGTGGAATGGGCAGACCTTTTGCTTCTTGGCGGCAGAGGCCTTGGAGGTGGCCTGGGGGAAAGCCGCAGGCTTCTTTCCGGATCCTTTGGGAGGCATTGTCGAGGCTGTCATAGAGAACAGAAACCATTAGCGAATGTTCATTCACTATAGGTCTGAATCTCGTAAGAGCGAGAGGGCTTTTCAGCCGCTCTGCACTCTAGCCATCATTTGTATGCAACATGCTCGTAAAGAGACATGCGATTGATATGCTACCGAGCATTCATGGCGAAGATATGCGCTTACCTGGTGTGTTGGCGGCGGTCGACGAAGGGTGAGATTGGCGACGATGGACTTGACGAAACGTTCGAAAGCGGGCGCAAAAGTTGTCGCGACCGAAATCCAGATAGGCGAGTGCGTGCGGGTGTGGAACAAGGTTTCGCCGGCGCTAGTGCTGGCCCAATCGGAGCGTGGCACTTGGTTTTCGACCATCAACCACGACAACCTCAATTCCATGACAATGAACACGTTTGGCCTTAGTGGCAAGGGACGGATCACGCAACTGATCACCATCTTCTGTCTGTGGAAAGCATTGCTTCTCTTGCTTGCAGCGTTCTGTCCAGGTCCTGGCTATGACACCTCCGCGCTCATATTGTTCGACACGTACTATCGACGGCACCATGAATTCACCCTTTTCGCTCGACATGAGCATCTCGCTCTCAACCTACTTCGTTGGGATGCACTGTACTTTGTGAAAGCAGCTGAGCGGGGTCTGGTCCACGAGCAAGCGTGGGCCTTCAGCGGGGCGTATTCGTATCTTCTGAGACTAACCGGTCAATGTGAGCAACGGTGGCCCAGTTCTTTGGCTCGGCACTGATATCTCCTAGTCATGGCTGGCAATACACAGGCCTCCCTGCACTACTATGTCCTGGCCGGAATCATCCTTTCTAGCGTCTGCCACCTTCTCTCTGTGCTAGTGCTGTATCGCCTTTTGACCTTGGTTCTGGAACCACAACGGCGACAGATCATCCCATTCATCGCCGCTATCTTGCATATTCTGACACCAGCATCTCTGTTCATGTGTGCACCTTATGCGGAAGCCATGTTTTCACTGCTGAATTTTGTGGGGATGCTCTTCTACGCTCAATCTCAAGCTTCAGTTGGAACAGGAATATCTTCAATCCAAGAGGATCTCCAGAAACTTGGCTCTGGCCTTTGTTTTGCTGCAGCAACACTCATGCGGAGTAATGGCCTACTGAGTGGCGTCATTCTCTTATACGATGTTGCAAGGTACATGCCTTTGGTTCTTTCTGCGCAGTTAAGTATGCGTGATTTACGAAGGATTACCGTCACATGTGTGGCTGGCAGTCTTATAGCGTTGGCATTCATTGGGCCGCAGGTTCTGGCATATGCGGAATTCTGTGACCGAGAGCAAGGCTCTGGGACCAGGCCGTGGTGTGACAAGAGCTTCCCAAGCATTTACTCGTGGGTACAGAGCTACTATTGGTGAGTAATCCCCACACAGCATGTTCCTAGTCTGACCTCTTCCAGGAACGTAGGACTCTTCCGCTACTGGACTCTATCAAACGTGCCCCTGTTTTTACTAGCGGCCCCTGTTTTATGGCTGCTTCTTACATCGAGTGTTACCATTCTCCGCAGCGGCGTCCAGCACCCGTTACATGGGCGCCCCGTACCCCGGACTAGTGGAACAACCAAACCCAGGGATGGAACCTCCGCGATATGCAAGCTACCAGAATTAGCCCTACCACAGCTAATACTGGCTGTAACGGCCGTTACCAGTTTCCATGTCCAGATTGTAAACCGAATCGCTTCCGGTTATCCGATGTGGTATCTTGTTGTGGCTACGTGGTTGGCAGACTCACAAAGCACAACTCGTACAGAAAAAGAATCGAAGAAGACAAGATGGTATATTCAAGGTGGTATCATGTATTGCTTGGTTCAGGGGATGCTCTATGCCAACTTCCTCCCGCCAGCCTGAAGCTCAATTTAAGGACTTTCTCTGGAGACAAATCGTCAATGTGTTAGATGGCCGACGTAATCGACCTATAGTTATTCTCCTACCACAGTTAACATGTGTGCATCGGGAATCATCTCTTGAGCAAGAAAATCGAATCGTGCTAAGGAAAGAAGAGGTCAGGAATGCGGAACACCAGCGATACGCAATTCAAAAGACGAATACCAACTTCACATTCTTGTTACCCCTCACATCACCAATGGCCTCATTCTGTCTCAGTAAACGGACATGTTCCACAACTGCTTAAGCTTGTCGCACCTACAAGTTGGCGGCGTAAAGCCTGCAATTTAGGTGTTGAATGCAGACGCCTAGACAGCTAGTACGACACGATCCATCCTAGTGAAAACGCCCGTCATCAGACATCGACTCTCCACTACGCGAATTTCGCAGATTCTACAACACTTGGGGATATGTGAGGAAGATAACTGGAAAAAATTCATGCGGATCAATACCAAATACTGGTGACTACTTACAGGGCCCATTTTGAGGAAATGCACTCCTTTAGACTAAGGCCCGCAGCGTTTACATGAAGCTTCGTATTACGACAAAGGACATAAGTTTAGTTGAGAAGCTACGGTCATGTAAGGCACTCCACAGTCTCACTGCTCGTGTCGCTGCTCAGGATTTTCGGCCATCACAAGCGTTGAGACATACACTCTAGAACGGGCTTTCAGGACGAGGTTTGAGGATCGCTTAGAGTGGCTGAGCTCTCTCTAGCCTGTCATGGAACGGCTCCTTGACAGTATCGTACCTGCGTAAGCTACGGACGCTGATCGTCGAGTAAACGACCGGATCGCTGTCTAGCCACTGGAAATGCGAATCAATGGCGATCTGCTGTGCCAGCACACTACTTCATTTCCAACAAGTTTATACACAGCCAAGGTCAGGAGGGTTAAACCTTACTGCATGATGGGACATATTGGGCGAGGCAGAACATTGCAGTACCCATCGCTTGTCCCCACATGACCTACTACTACTGACATATCGCTGATGTCGCAACGACGACTACGACCTCATGGACACTAAACCGCCTTTTTGAGACACTGACAGTACCCTAGTTTCTAAGCCAGGAACCTTCGCTTGAGCATGATGTTCACTGTCATGTTTTACACAGGCGCCACCGATACTACTCACTTTGCCGTAGCGAGGACAAGAAGCGACATGGAAATGGATAGCGGGGCCTTGGGCTCAATATGTTTGTGACTAGTCCCTTCGATGACGAGAGCGACTTATAAAAGCTGCTCTAGCCCCTTGAATGATAGGTGTGCTCATCAACCCAGAACGGCCTACACTTGTTGCAAAGTCAAAATGAAGTTCTCTACTTTCGCTACGTTGATCAGCCTTTCTGTAGTTTTCGCAGCAGTTCTCGATACTAGGCAAGAATGCTCCCAGAATGACTGTTATCGCGCAGTCTGGCGTGACGGCGGATTACCTCGTACCATTCAAGCTGGACAGGACTGCAAAGACTTCCTCACTACAAGCGTCATCTGGAACCCGATGTTTGTAACCCATGAAAGCTACCTGAATTCTCTGACAATTAGATAAAGTACCACTCTTACGGTCATTACTCGAACAACTTCTACCACAACGACGCCATGCCTACCGACTTTGACACCCACTGCTACGAGTCTCATAGCGCTCCCAACTTCGTCGGAAGAGAACAAATTATGGATTCGACAAGTTCAGCCTACTGATTGGTCTACAACGACTGTCTTCGGTTCTCAGCCTTCCTACGCCACACAAGACTGTAACCCACAAGCATACTCATCCGCATGTGAGTGTGCGAACATCACTACAGCTATAGTCACCTATCTCGGAACTGTAAGTCGTTTGCTGAATTAGGCAGTGTGCAGGCTGATCATATATCACAGACTGTGACCAATACCGCAACCACAACCATTACCAGTATCTCGACGACTGGCACGTCTTGTCCAGTGTTAACTCCTTCATCTTCAGCCAGCTCTCCGATCTCATCAAGCACACTTACGTCTTCTTCATTGTCTAGCAGTGTCACCAGTAGCGTGATCTCGAGCACATTTTCATCCACAAGCACAGGTGGTTCTTCTTCAAGCTCGGCTGCATCATCGGGTAGCACGGATAGCTCTTCTTCGAGCCCAACCACATCATCGTCTAGTACGGGAAGCTCTTCATCCTCGCCGACTGAATCTAGCAGCTCATCGAGCACATCAACTACTTTCAGCTCTTTCAGCTCTTCAACCTCTGCCTCGACAGCGCCAACTACAGCGTCTTCCAGCTCTGGTAGCTCGTCGACTACTTCAGACGAAAACCCTATCACAAGTAACACGCTGAGCTCTTCCCGTTCTTCGTCGAGTGCCACACCAACGAGCTCATTGTCCTCTGTTACTTCTTCCAAGAGTTTTTCCAGCAGCTCTTCTTCGAGCTCATCCGACACTTCAAGCTCCACGAGCAGCAGTACTTCTTCCGAAAGCTCTAGTAGTAGCACGTCGTCCGCCTCGCTTAGCAGTTCGAGCGTCTCATTCACAAGCACTTCATTGGGCTCATCCAGTAGCATTCCGACAACCTCAACTAGTAGCACTGGATCCGAATCGTCAAGCAGCGTAACTCCGACGTCAAGCAATCCGAGTTCGTCGTTTAGTAGTACCTTGTCGTCCACGGCAAGTAGTACAGACTCATCATCATCACTGTCATCATCTACTAGCATGACAATGACTTCCAGTAGTTCAAGCACGTCGGCTAGCAGCAGTGCTTCATCCTCGACCAGCAGCACAGAGTCATCGACCTCCTTATCCTCATCCTCTTCTTCATCATTTGGCACTACAACGGTCTCCTCATCCACTGGTACATCATCGACTACGTCCACAATAAGCGCAACACCCAGCCCACCCACCTGCGGAGGTGACGGCGTTGCACTTTGTGACGGCGGCTGCCACGACCTCAAAACCGACGTTCTTCACTGTGGTCGCTGCAACAATGCCTGCGCTGCGAACAAAGGATGCTTCAACGGAGTCTGCGCGTCCTTCCCTTGTGATTCCACTTGTGCATTCGACCGTCTGTGCGGTTCCGGCAACGGGACCACGATATGTCGCTGTGCAACAACCACGGAAGGCGCTGGTGTCTGCTACAACAAGGACGGAACTGACTGTACAGACCCTGCTATCACCCAATGCAGGCTCTCAAGTGAATGCCCCGTTGGTATGGCTTGCATGCCCAACATCTGTGACTGTGGAGATCAAAGCAAGGGAATCTGTGTTGGCACGGCTGGATGCGGAGACCAGGGAACGAGCATCATGGGAGGACTAGTTAGGATTGGGGAGATGGAGAGGCGAAGGAGGACCGTGAGGGGCTTGGCGAACTCTCTTTGAGGGGTGATACGGCGCGAATAGGCCATGAGAGTGGCCCGGGTGTGTGGTAGCATACGCAGGGAGATGGGTGGCATCGTGTCTTGTTATTTGAGGAAAGTTTGGCTGCTCGATACATACTACCCAGGTAGTGAGCGTTGTATAATGGTTTTCACAACACAATATACATCCTTCGCTTCTATACTTCGGCATCGCTTGCCGTGTTGTGAAAACACTCGACGTCAGTGCGCGATAGGCTTCCTCTGCATAACAAAACAGATGGCTCTCGCTTTGTTATGTCGCGTTGTTGTGGGCGGTCAATCCTCCCGAGGCCAGATGCTAGCTTCTTCCATCATGTGAGCAACACAGACACCAAAACACAATAAAATGCTGTGCCAGAGACTTGGGCCAGAGGTTTGCGACCGCGAACATGCAGGATGCGGTGTGATTGGGGAGATGAAGTTCGTGTGTGGAGAGACGTTTTGTCGGCACCCCAGCAGCTGAACAGCCATGGGCAAACGGTTCCTCCAGGTTTCCATGCCTGACGACGATTATGACGGATGCAAACTATAAGCGCATGAATATGGCCGTCGATAGAAGTTAGCGCGTCACGGTGGCATGCATTGGCGTGCACCCCACATGCTAGCACGCGTGGTTGCTGGGACGATCGCCCGCATGTTTATGGGTATCCGCAAACGGACGGTCGACCTGCCTCATCATCGCCTTCCTCTAATATGTCCGCCATCCTTCTGCTATAGACAATTCACGTTTCAAGCCTTCTCTTCCCGGCCCCGGCCTCAGTACACGCTTCCACAATTATCTTTTTTTCTGGAGCAGCATCATGTCGACGCCGGACATGGCCGCACCACCCGCTGCAGGACACCGACGCAACAAATCCGCTGCAGTGCTCAAGTCTATTATTATAAATAAAGGTCACAGGCGTTCGCCGACCGAGGGCGCTGCGCTGCACACCGCTCAGATTTCCAACCCGCCGTACATGCCTGTCTCCAACTTCCAGGCGCCCTTGCTACCGCCAGACCACCCCCATAGCCAATTGCGCGCGGCAAACCAGACAGAAAACGACCCCCTCAACCCGCCATCGCCTCGAAAGTCGCAGGACGCCAAATCGAGCCCCAAGAAGAGCCTGCACAAGAAGACGCTCAGCTCCGTGTCGCTGCGGTCACTGGCGAAGAAGGAGGACAAGTCCGCTCCCAAGAAATCGTTCGACGCGCGGCGAGCGCAGGAGGAGGTTGTGGCAGGCGAGAAGCCCAAGAAGACGAAGTCGTCAACCAATCTGGCTGCCATGTTCGGCAAGGGCAGGAGAGACAAGTCACCCGTCAAGGAGAGCAGAGATAAGGAAAACACCACGCCACCCCGCACCTCATATGCACAGGCCCCACCGCGCACTCCCATTTGGGCCGAGTTCAGCTCCCAGCAGGAAGTCACCACCACGAGCAAAGTCCCTCTGAACGACCAGCGTCGGAGCGTCGAGGACGAGATTGCCCTCTACACACCCCAAGACTATTCGCCCACCAAGCAGCGCAACTTCTTCGAGACTGGCCAGCCCTCGCTCCGACCTGCTCAGAAGGAGCGACCCAAGTCCATGTTTGTTCCCAAGTCGACTTCCACGGCATCGTTACTCGAGACCTTCTCGCGCAAGCGGAGCAACGAGCGTGTTCCTCTGTCCGACACCAAGGGCAACGAGGGACGCACCAGAGAGAGCTCTCCCACCAAGCCGCCGAGACCCATACTCAGTAGAGCGAGTACCGACACCGGCAGCAAGGACTACAGCCTCAAGGATATGGCGCCTCCGCCAAGTCCTACAAAGAAGCAGAACCGAGTCATGGCCGCCGTCGCTGCCTTTAACGGAAAGTCCAAGCAAGCTGAGAGTGCCGCGGCATCTGCCAAACCTGATCCTAAGGTGGTAGACGCCGAGTTCGAGGAGGTTCTGGTAAGTGCTCTCTCGATATCTAGCTGATCCCTCTGCTAACAACATCAGGAATCCCGAAATATCCCCGCCCACCAGCGTGCGCAGATGCGGACATTAAAGCTAGAGGTCAAGGCCGACTTTGTTCGAATGCACAAGCTTGACATTCCACAAACCTCCAAGACAAACTCTGCACATTCTTCCATTGGAGAGAACACCAAGCAGGTACCACAGAAGTCATCCAAGTCTCGACACGGATCTGCTGTTGAAGATGCAGAGGATGAGGCGCAAGACAAGTCAGCAAACTCAATTAAGCGTGAGCGTCCAAGGAGCCGAACCTTTACCTTCAACAGGAGTGACTCTCCTACAAAGAAGCAGAAGGGCGGCGAGTTGGGCGAACGAAAGACGTCGTCAAAGCCAGCTCCTATCCCCAAATCTCCCTCTATGAGATCTCTGAGGTCTAACGCTTCTGACCGATCTGTGTCCAACGGAGCCAAATCTGTCAAGGCCGACGAGTTCATCTCCTACATGAAGAAGACCCCGAAGCCACAGAATGTCGAGGTCGGCAAGCTGCACAAACTCCGCTTGTTGATCCGTAACGAAACTGTCGACTGGGTTGACAACTTCATCCAGGACGGTGGTATGACTGAGCTAGTCGCACTCCTCCACCGGATCATGGAGGTTGAGTGGCGCGAAGACCACGAAGACACTCTTCTTCACGAACTTCTCCGCTGTCTCAAGGGACTCTGCACGACTGGTACCGCTCTCAAGCAGCTTAACGAGATCTCATCGACACTGTACCCAGCCTTGCTGGCTATGCTTTTCGACGAAGAGCACAAAGGTCCGAGCGAGTTTACTACGCGTGAACTCATCATAGAGATCATCTTCGCTCACATCTCCATGGCACCAGAGGCTGAACTGGAGACTCGCGCTACCGAGTTGATGAAGTATCTCAAGGATCCAGTCAAGGAGAAGCAGGCATCCACTGTTCCGTTCATTCTACAGATGCACCAACCACGACCCTACCAAGTATGGTGCAAAGAGATGTCCAACGTCACCAAGGAGGTTTTCTGGATCTTCATCCACCACCTCAACGTCATCCCTGTTCCACCCAAGCCGACGGGAGACAGGTCTTACGCTAAGACTCACTTCCCCGGTCAACGCGCCATTGTGCCCGCAGCTCCCTACGTTGGTGGTGTAGAATGGGATGCGACCAACTACCTCGCCACACACATTGATCTCCTCAACGGCATCATAGCTTCACTCCCCACCCGCTCAGCACGTAACGAATTCCGCCAGGAACTCAAAGTCTCCGGCTTCGAGAAGCTGATGGGTCACCTCCGCGCCTGCAACCCCAAGTACTACGGCGCTGTTCACGACAGCGTCAAGGTCTGGATCGGCGCTGCACTTGAAGACGATTGGGATGTCAAGACTGTGCGTATGGGCTCTGACGGCAACGTGAGCCCAGCCAAGCAAAGCCCCAAGAAGAAGACCGAACCTCCGCCACAACTCCAGGCACCACCTAAGATGGATGTCGGCCTTGGTCTCGGATTGGGCTTTGAGAGGGAGATTGCAATCGGCAGCAAGAGTATCGT